TAGTAGTATTCTAGTAGTATTCTAGTAGTATTCTAGTAGTATTCTAGTAGTATTCTAGTAGTATTCTAGTAGTATTCTAGTAGTATTCTAGTAGTATTCTAGTAGTATAAGAGTATGAGTAGTATTAGAATTAGAATTATTATTAGAAGCAGTAGTTGTAGTATAGGATTATTATTATTATTATTATTATTATTATTATTAGTAGTAGTAGTAGTAGTAGTAGTAGTAGTAGTAGTAGTAGTAGAGGTTGCATTTCTTGTTGTAATAGCAGTATAGAAGTAGTAGTATGTAATAGTACATTCATAGGGCAAATCTAAAGCCACTGCTTGTTATGCGCTTAAGTGGAAAAGTAGCCCAAGCGAGCTGTCCCATTCCTTGCTATCACCTCCCGCAAGTTCGTGTGTAACCACTAGGGTACATAGGGCTTATTGGAGTACGCTTTTCGTTAGCTAGGAGCTCCTTTCATCAGCACCGTTTTACTCATCCTATAAGCTATGTTTTGTACGGCTACATATAACGCAAGTTGTACTACATGTGTACGGCAATGAGGGCCTATGGCTTAATGGATAAAGCGCCGGTCTACGGAACCGGAGATTCCAGGTTCGATCCCTGATAGGCTCGGAAGTATCGCAGATACGGCTGTGCAGTCGCTCGAACGTGCAAATCATGCAGAAGCGTACCCTTGGGAAAAGATGTTATCTGCGGAATTGAAATGTTAATGTATGGTGTTATGGTACAGCGGACAGGATGGTCAATCTCATCAGGATGATCATCATCCACATGTATAACTTCGTGTATCGCAAAGACTGAAGATTTTATGGGAATCGACAAAGGAGTTCGGTGACGGAATCCATGTTGTAACCCTTTCCTTCATATAACGAGATAGTTCAGTGAGCTTCTTGCAGCGGCAGTAGTATACAGCGGCAGTAGTATACTAGTAGCAGCAGCAGCAGCAGCAACAGCTGCAGCAGCAACAGCAACTCACACGAGTGATCAGGAAAGGCACAGCCCGCCTACGTGAGGTGGCGGTGCATGTGCTCGAGCTCCACATGTTAAGCCACATCTATCTTCAAATGTACCCCGATGGAACACTGGCAGGTTTGATGTGAAAGTGGTAAGGGCCTGGTGCAGGGGTGAAAATGTAGTATTATATATGGTTGTCCGTAAATGGCGTCCTTCCGCTTCACAGCGTCCTTCATCCTGTTCTGCTGCCGCTGATTGATTGTAGGTTCTCCCCTCGCTCCCATCATTCATCACATATATCATAATCACCCTATGCTGCTGACGGGCCTGCATTAGTAAGAAGACCCAATATATATTAATGTTCTCGGATCCAGCACACATATTATGTTCTGACGTGGACTATAATAATAAGTACGCCA